TAACAGAGAATGTGACATATCCTTTCAAAGCATAGTATTTGGTGAAATAGCAGAGAATGTGACATACCCTTTCAAAGCATAGTATTTGGTACAATAACAGAGAATGTGACATACCCTTTCAAAGCATAGTATTTGGTACAATAACAGAGAATGTGACATACCCTTTCAAAGCATAGTATTTGGTGGAATAACAGAGATTGTGACATACTCTTTCAAAACATAGTATTTGGTGCAATAGCAGAGAATGTGACATACCCTTTCAAAGCATAGTATTTAGTGCAATAACAGAGAATGTGACATACCCTTTCAAAGCATAGTATTTGGTGCAATAACAGAGATTGTGACATACCCTTTCAAAGCATAGTATTTGGTGCAATAACAGAGATTGTGACATACCCTTTCAAAGCATAGTATTTGGTGCAATAACAGAGATTGTGACATACCCTTTCAAAGCATAGTATTTGGTGCAATAACAGAGATTGTGACATACCCTTTCAAAGCATAGTATTTGGTGCAATAACAGAGATTGTGACATACCCTTTCAAAGCATAGTACTGTATTTGGTGCAATAGCAGAGAATGTGACATACCCTTTCAAAGCATAGTATTTGGTACAATAACAGAGAATGTGACATATCCTTTCAAAGCATAGTATTTGGTGGAATAACAGAGAATGTGACATACCCTTTCAAAGCATAGTATTTGGTACAATAACAGAGAATGTGACATACCCTTTCAAAGCATAGTATTTGGTACAATAACAGAGAATGTGACATATCTTTTCAAAGCATAGTATTTGGTGCAATAGCAGAGAATGTGACATACCCTTTCAAAGCATAGTATTTGGTGCAATAGCAGAGAATGTGACATAGTGCTTCAAAGCATAGTATTTGGTGGAATAACAGAGAATGTGACATACCCTTTCAAAGCGTAGTATTTGGTGGAATAACAGTGGAAACACAGGGGGAACACAGATTGTCTTCCGTTGATATCCGAGGAGACAAATACTAAGATAAACATCATCTCTTTCTCTCAAAAATGTTCCTGGACATGTTACCTACAAAATGTAAAAGAAAATCATCTCAGGGTTTCAGGCCATTCCAGGCTCCATATATTGATAATATTCTAGGATAAAATTATAGTTTGTATTTATAACACAGTACAATGAGAATGAATGTTGAACTATCGGTAATGTCACCATTTTCCAATGAAATAGTGCAATTTTTATGGTGATAGCCAACCCAAACACACGTTGAAAAACTACATTATTTGTGTTGGGGATGACTAGTACAATACCATATTGTTCCAAGTCAGGGAAATGAACTTTTCCCAGCATCAGCAAATTATAATTAAAATCATTTTGCAATGCACAGTACCTGTTGTGTACTTAATGGTAAAGACCATAAGCATATAGAATTAAGTTGTTTGTTATAAAGTGAGTAATAAAAGTAGTTTTGGTGGGTGACGTATAATACAAGAAGCTTCTCTGCTGAGATAGCTCCATTGTTAACAATCATATAATTAAAGAATTGAAGATATCCTCACCAAATGAACAAATCTCAGACAGGTTCACCTGAGGTACCTATACATGTATGTTTAATATCAAAGCAATCAAACGAAAATATCACTTTTTACTAAAAAAATATTCATTAAAATTAGAGAATTAAAGATATCATAACAAAATGAACAAATCTAAGAGAGTTCTGCCCAAAGTACATATACACCATTGGCCATGCTGGTTGTTCATGAATATCAATTAACTAATAATGAATAATGAATAAGAATGAGCTTGGTCACAGTGCAAATACTTTTTTTGTTCATATTATATGTTTATTTTTCAACTATGAAAAAAGGAATTATTATTATTCTTATCTTTGATTAAGGTAGCGGGACTATTATTTACATACTTGGGTTCATCTTCTACATGTAATTGTGACTAAATGACTACAAATAGACCCAGGAAAGTATATATTTTTAGAATCGCCAGGCTTTTCACAAGTGTATTTTGCATGCCCGTATCTGCATTCTACGACGCGTTACTCAATCAAAGGTGAAAAATGACTTTTTCTGTAAAAAAAATAATTACGCATTTATGCTGGCGATAAGAAGTATTTTTTTCACTTTTCCTAGTTGTTCAATAGTCTGGTAAATTGAATGTGTCTGGACTTTCAAGCTTGTTTATCGCCACAATCAATTTGTTTTCCCATCAAGGTCTGTTTTAACATGTGTAGGGACACCCAAATGTGTAAGGCTATTGGAAACCAAAAAAATAAAGGAATGGGAGTTATAATTGGATAAATTCGGCATATGAAAACACCAAAATAAATGATTTTTTTTCAGTGGCTGTGTTACCTTGTGTCTGACACATTTATATGCAAATGACTATTCTGTGAAACAAACAGGGGCGGAGACAAACCACTCAAATGTTTGGAAACACTCATTGTGTGTCAGATAGCTACTGATAACAAATCCTAACATTGCTTTGTCTTGAGTTTATCTTTGAAACTTATAGGCACACAGATTAAACCTGTGTTGTTGATTCTGGAAAACACTACTGAGGCTGCCTTGCTTCCCTTCAGAAAATCTACATTTTAACCAACTTACATGACATTCTATGTTATGTTGACTTTATCACGTGAAAGTTTATAGTCAATTAATAAATAAATGTGAAAATCGTAATTTTCAACACAAATAATAGACTCGCTACCTTAAATGACAACATTATTTGTATGTGTGCCATGATATACAAACTACTTATAAAGTTTGGAATTAATTATTCAAACCATGAATGAGATATATATATATATGTCAAAAGCAAAATGGCCACCAGTTGACCATCCCATCTTTTTAAAGAAAAGCTAAATTTCAAAACTTTTCAACGCCAGAAAATGGAACTTCAGGCTTATAGAAACCTAGACTGGCCTAGCCATGGCAATTTCAGGTTATCACTCTTCCTTTTTTCTTAAAATCTTGTCTCACATAAAATTACCATGACTGGTCCATTATGAGGCGTATTCATTGCAAATATTTAACATGATAATATGCAGTGATGATAGGAACCCAGAAGTGGGTATGCGCTTGCACAAAGGATTCTATGTGTTAGGTCATGTGTGCGTTATAGGCAGCTTACAATTCATCATCACTATAGAACACGTCATAGAAATTTTGTGTCAATCCACAAACTTCCTAAAACAAATTGTCATACTAGTATATAAAACACTAAAATTGTCACGACTGGGCCAGCCTAGTAAGAACCCATTATTTTATTTATGTCTATGTATGTCTAATAAAGACCTGAACTGATTATTCCTTAAAATTTTTAATTAATGTTATACATCATGAATAAACATTCTAGCTTTGAATTGTGAGTCTGCATATGTGCGCACCAGGTATATGTAACTAATCTTTCAAGAATGTTTTAAAGTAGTGGCAAAAATGAGTGAAATATATTGCATTCTTATTTCTAAAATTATTTTCATCATCAATATCCATAATTATATCACTCTATTCAATGTGTTCTTAGGTAAATTTCCATGCATAATAATACCTAACTATATAATTTACATATGTAAAATAAAAATCATTAACATATCTATAAGCTCTATTTTTTCCTTGAAAGTTCAAGCATGGCATGGTAAAACCACTATGCTGAAAAGACCTGTGGGGAACACTGATCCATTTTACAACAAACAAATTCTAAAGACTGTATTTAATATTTTTTCTATCACAAAATATACATGAATATTATATCGTGAAAATAATGGGAAATAATATGGCTTTGTCATATTATTTAAAAAATACAATTTTCTAAAAATTAAATATGTAACAGTGGTCTGGGAGAACCTTGCTGCTGTTTAATCAATTTTTCATAGATTTTCTAATTTTTATTTCTTTCTTTTGTTGAATATCAGTGTATTTTAATTTTAGTGTTTTAGTGTGTCTTATTTTAGTTGTCTTTTGTAATTAATTTTTACCTTACTAAACCCACAGATGGTTAAGTTGCGTAATAAAGTTATTATTATTATTATAAAACACATATACTAATTTGACTAGTTTGATATGTGAAAAAAAGGAATACTCATTGGCACACATTTGGGAACCAGTCATTGTTCACTTGGCAGTGTGCCAAACAGAATACTATTCTTTGAATAGAAAATACTAGTAAGAACCTTGTACTAGCAGGGACCTTTAAAGATGGAGGTGCATCTCGAAGGATATTTGGCAAATAAATCTAAAAATTATAAATTAAATCTTTATAAATCTACTTCACATACATTCCAGTAATTTCATGTGTTGCATGTTATAGTTCAGCAGAAATTTTTACAATTTATTCATTGATAATGTGGTCGGAAGGGGGGGGGTGTTGTTTAAATTGACAATGGAATGCATTGTATCATTATTTTAATTTTCCAACAGTCCAATCATTCATCTTGTATATATTGCCTAACCCCGACGGACGTTGTCTTTGTCGCGTTGTCCTCACTGATACCATGGAGCTAATGCTGATACATACGATTTCAATGCCTATACGTTGCGAGGGACGCTGACATGCCTGGACACGTCGTTGCTACCTTGGCTTTATTCGGAAATTCCTGCTTTTAAAAATGGCAGCGTACAATAGGTAAACTATATTTTAATAAATGTTCATGTCAACGTTTCGAAGAAATTTCGTTACATGAAGGTATTTATTTATGACGAGAATCAATGTGATAGTATTGCAAACTGACCTCATCCCGCGATACAAAGGCAGGATATATTACTGCTCAACGTTTGTCGCTCCGGTTTGTGACAGACGACACCCATTTTGTGCAGAAAACTGTAGTTAGGGCCACAAATTTCAACAAACTACACTGTCATCTATCACATACGCCTCTAACGCACTGATATAAAATATACATGGTTGTACTGCGTAGCATGGCCATATATTATTTGCAAACTAGGTATAAACACATAATCAAAATTATCGAAAATCGAAACATAGTGACTGAAGGCCAAGATAGGTTAAATTCACATTTCAATCGCGATTTTTCGGTAGTTTTAATTACAATTTTAGATCGATCTTGCACTTACCGCTTCGATGTTGAGTTCAACCTTAACCCGGAGCGCTTTTCGTGGCATTTTTAAATGTTTCTGGCGGCAAAGTACAATAAATACAGAGACCCTGAGGTTTGTGTTTACATGGAACACGGAATTCCCACGCTGGTAAGTGACGCCAAAAAAACACTGACCAATCAGATAACAGAATTGCGCGCCATCTGGCGGTCAACAATTGCGAATAGGTGATTTTCCGAACAATTGCGAGATCTCGCGAGATGCATGAAAAACGCGCGTCGAACGTCTGCCGCAAAAATCGAACGATTTGATTTTGAACTAGAATTTCTTTATTTCGCAGCTTACATTGACCGGCCGATCTTCCACAGAGGAATATTGCTTCCGAATACCCTCACTTAATCGAAATTGCCTATCATCAAATGTGGACAGCACATTATTAAGCATGGAAATGTCCCCGAAATACTTTCGCGTTTGTCGAATCCCACGCGATGTTTGACGCGACTACGACGCTATGACCTTTGTTTGTCCTGTTTTTACGTTCGATTTCATGCATAACGCGTGATTCTCGCAGTGTACGGAAAATGGTCTATTGGTTTGTCGTTGTACGTAGCGGTAATATGAGATCGTATAAGTGGGGTCTTAGCTAGCTTGGCGACTACACTTACACTATACTGGTTGAAAAATCCCAAAGAACACACACTTTAAGAACTCGGAGAAAGCGCCCGGCTTCCAACTCCTCACTCGAATTACCACTGTTTACACATCTGACAAATATTTAGGCGCATGTTTATGTTATCCACCAATAGATGCATTGTCAGATTAGTACGACTCTCATTTCCTTGCAAATGCTTACCACCGTATATGTGTGAACATTATCTTTTGGTGGAATAAATGCCCATACTAATGACGGTTCTCGGCTTAACAACTTCGTTGAAAAGTAATATGTACGTGATTCTTAAAATCATTCTCTCTAAGATCCTGGATGAAAAGTCTGGCAATAAACAACTTTAACTCTTGATCGGTAGTCAGCTTTTACATGTGTGTCCCCCCGGGGGGGGGGCTACTTGCATAGAAGTGCAATACGGTTATGTGCTGCCCGACCACAGGG